TACAGATGAAATCCTCACTAAGTGTTCCTCTCATGGCTCTGTCATTACTCGGGTCATAGAGGGTCACCCATTCTGCATGTGTGCATATGTGTGTGTATGTGTGTGTGCGTGTGTATGTGTGTGTGTGCGTGTGTATGTGTGTGTGTGCGTGTGTGTGTGTGTTCGTGCAAGTGCTGTCCTTGCTTTCTTCCGTAATCGAACAGAGGACAAGAGGCTTTTCCAGACCACTTAGGGCTTTAGATAAGAGTTTGTGGAAGTGTCTTAAGTGCTGGGATGAAGGCTGCCGCACCAGAAATACCTGCATAATGTCACAATGGTCCAGTGATACTACCAGACAATAATGCCCTGAAGATTACTCAAACAATAATGAAAAGATTTATAAATAACAGAATATATAAAAACAAATAATACTGATTAAATACGAGTAGATCAAGATAACCTGAACATCATTGCTATGCTTGTGTGTCCAAAACACTGAAAACAATGTTTTTTTTAAAAAGCGAAAACAATGTGTCTTTAATTCTGACATATGGTAATATTCAAAGTGTTTATATTTAAGCCAGCCTTAACATGTGTTGTCACCCTGTTAATGCTGGACAAAAGAAAACAACTTTAGGTGTTTTGGTTACTTATACTTATACTGATAACATACAGTATGAGGGTCTCCCAGAGCACACTACTGAGCAGAGATTTATTTTAATGGGAATATATTTGTACAGATTCTATTAGTAAGGTATACTAAATGTGCAAATGTTTATGTTATACATCTGTTTTCCTTTGAGACAGTTTTACGAGACTTTACAAATATAGGCTAAGGGTAAAATCCCTTGATTATGAAGCAGTGATCACTTAACACTTTCATTTTGTTTTATAATAAACTAAGATGCTCGGCTGCGTGGTGTCCCTTTGCAGAAACAGGGTATACTTTAAGAAAACAAACATGACAGATGTTGCAGTAGCAGAGGATGAATACAGGGTTTGATGACGCTCATTGTTTGCAGTATTTATGGGGGGTCGTTGTGTGTAATGACCCCTTTAATATTGACCTCTGATGTCCTGCTTACTCAGGCTCTGTGCTGGCAGTCTGTGCGTCTGGTCCTGAACAAACTCTGACCTCCTTTCTTCTTTTGTTGTCTTTGCTCTTGTTGTGCCTCTTGTTCTCTGGTTTCCTTATATCATATTACAAACGTTATAATTCCTCATTTATATTTACATTTTCATAATGATCTCTCTTTTGAAAATCCTTAGTGTTAGAAGAGTTCCTTCAATCCTATATGATGCTTCTTTTTCAGGTTGTCCAACTATGAGATCTTCTGGTACACACACAACCTCTTCATTGTTTTCTACATCATCCTCATGGTGCACATGGTTGGGTAGGTGTCTGGGCTAAGCATTACATCTACGTGTGTGTGCTTGTGTGTGGGTTTGTCTCTGAATGAGTCGACACGTTTTGTTTTTTGTACAATTTGTCTCCCTCTCAAGCACTTCTTACAGAAAACAAGATAAGAGTTAGCTTCAAATGTGAATGTCAGCAAATATTGGTGACTCCCACTAACAGCTGGAGACATCTCTACATTTGCTCAAGTTGCTTTTGACTCACTGATGAAATAAATCACGCAGTGTTTAACTGAATCCCTTCCTACATGAATAGTCTTGTTATAGACCTATTTTACATGCTAATATAATGTCACTTGCTCAAGACAGCATTTCATTTTAATTCAATTTTCTAAGAGTTTTTAATGGAAATTCAGGATGTAGGAATCTTTTAATACCCTCATAGAAATTCATAATTTATACTTATTTTTCTTCTCACGTCACACATGTGGTCCTAGGCTGAACATACACAAACATACTTACGTACTTTACAGGCAATCCATTATGTTTCACTAAAATCCCCATCTAACATCATCTTGATTCTTGTTTTTCCATCAGAGGAGCTCTGAAGTATCAGACCAACTTAGAGGGCCACCCTCCTGGCTGCCTCGGAGCCAATCAGAGCAGCACGGAGCAGCAGGGTGAGGAGCTGGAGGCGGGTGTGGACGAAGAGAGAAGATGCGGAGAGGAGGCTCACTTCCAGCCGCACTACCCTCAGGTGTGTGTGTGTGTGTGTGTGTGTGTGTGTGTGTGTGTGTGTGTGTGTGTGTGTGTGTGTGTGTGTGATTTCCCATGCAGGATGTTTCTCTTGTTATGTGTTTTTTACCTTGAGGGTAAAGTATAAATACATATGTGTATATTTTTCCAGTTGCTTGCTTAATGTTTTTGTCTACACCGTATGTTCAGGCTTTACGTGGACGGTCCCTTTGGAAGTCCATCAGAGGAAGTGTTTAACTACGACGTCAGTGTTTGTGTCGCGGGTGGAATAGGAGTCACGCCTTTTGCCTGCGTGCTGCATGCGCTTCTGTGAGTTATGAAAAAGAATATCATACACTGGCAAATGAAAAGCAATTTCGGAAATTATTCATATCTTCCTTTCTTTCTGTCTTCTTTCTTTAGTGACGGGTGGACAGGTTTCAGGTTGCAGAGGTTGTACTTTGTGTGGGTCTGCAGGGAGCTCAAGTCCTTCTACTGGTTTGCTGAGCTGCTGTGTGCCCTTCATCACAAGGTAGGGAGAAAGTCAGCATGCTGAAGCCTTCATGTTCAATCAATTGAAACATGGTGGATTCATCTCTGGCTCATATTCAGTGTTTGTTTGTCCGACTAGTATCCAGTCTTTTTCAGTCTTTGAATGACAGCCTTATGTCAGAAGATTCAATTTTTTTTTACCTGAGCCACTGCCCCTAAAATGTCTGTGAATGCCCCTGCTTTAACCTTAAAAAAGCCAGCATAGTTTACAAGCAATGATAATCCACCATCATTATATTAACACTTTCACTATTGAGAAAGGGTATTTGCTCTCAGTCAGGTCAAATAAAGTTATTTCAGGTGTTTAAAATGAAGGGGAAGGTCAGAGGTTAAAAAGCGCAAAAGACCGCAGGGGAGACGTTACTGTGGCCCCTGTGCTTTTAAATCTCATTGAAGTGAAACAAAGTGTATGTAGAAATATGGTGCAATCAAATCAAAGTACAGGCAAAGAATCACAAATGAAATGAAATGCAGAACCACTAAAACAGATGCTATGTCTGTGTTTGTCGTTTAGCTTTGGCAGGAAAACCGACCGGACTACTTTAATCTGAAACTGTACGTCAGTCAGACAGACAACCTGCAGGTAGGTGTGACAAACACACACACTCTTCGTTCATCTTATCATTGCAATTACTTTTCAGTCATTCATCTTTCATTGATATATTGTACTAGTCAAAGCTCAACCACTAGAGGGCGGTATATGACAGAGAGAGAAGCTACAGGGTTTCAAGTCGTGTATGTTGGTGTAAGTCTGTGTGTTGTGTCTATTCTCTTTCTGAACTACACAATATTTATTATGTCACATTGTATCAGCACTTTAAACATTTTTTATTTATTTTTGGGAAATTCACATTCTGTTGTTTTTATCAATTGTTTGAGCATATTTCTGATCATTTGTAAATAGCTGCTAATAATTCCTGTGGTGTTAAATAGTTTATTTTGATGGGATCAAGCAAAACTATTGATAATCCAGGAAACATGTCAGATATGGATGTATCAAATAGGAAAACAAAGCCAGGATTTTCACTTGGAATGTTTAATGTTCTGTTACTGAATTCCAATTAGCCGTCATGTGACACCCATACAAAAACTCCTCGTTAGTATAGTGGTCAGTATCCCCGCCTGTCACGCGGGAGACCGGGGTTCAATTCCCCGACGGGGAGAGTTACACCTTTTGTAATCACGTTACACCCTGAGCAAGTTAACAGGAAGCCGTAAAACCTGCCTGTGATGAATCAGAGCCTGTCAGAGGCAGCAGAGGCACAGTCGGTGAACTATGAGAAACACTCAATGTAGTATTTTTGTCCAGGCACAAAACATGCATGAACGAATGATCTTACTCTGTACAGATATCCAGTTTCGTTGCTCTTAGTTATAAGACAAGCTTTGGTAAAGGCAGCAAATCAGATAACACTCTTTTGTTCTGCCTCACCCATCTACTGAAAGGTCCTGATCCGTATCAGAGTTTAACAGCTAACCACAAAAAGGAAGTGACATGTCACCCTGCTTTTCACTCACACCTGTGTACTATGGGAATGGTTTGAGATATACCAAGGTTTTTGGCTTGTCAGTCTCTAACCCCAGATTGATCTAGCATTCCAAAAAGTTAGTTCTGCACATTATTTGATTTCTGTTGAATCGCCTCTTTACATTGCAGATGGATAATATAATCTTTAAAATCTTTTATCTATGATTGCAGAGTAAAACAAAACTGTCAAGACCTTCTAAAAAAGACATAAATACATAAAATACTACAGTGCCCCATACAGGAGCTCAGATACATTTTAGATTTACCTGGTGGATTTAAGGCCGTTATTTTAATCTGCAAAAGCTCGATAATGAACTGTGACAAGGCTCAGTATATCAATAACTTTCATGGCTGATACAGAAACAACCCACGCAGCTCATTTCCACTTAATCCCACCTTGCAGCCCCTGAATTTGGCTCGGCTTTGTTCATAACTGCCCAAAGCTGTTTGCACTACAGATAACGTTTAATGGCCCTTAAACTGGAGCGCACAGGCTGCTACAGTTTAAATGTTAACAGGAGAAAGCAAGAGAAGTGGAGGAAGAAGGGGCCGAGGAAGATGGAGTACCCGTTGTCCTGATTGGGATCTTTTAACCTATAAATGTCAAAATGGATTTTCTTCTAAAAAAGTGTCATCAATCCGCTACTGAGTTGGTCAGATGTCTCTAGTAAAGGAAATATGGAAAATATCATGAAGGATAGGTTCCTTCCATAATGGCTGGATTTACACGTCCAACTATTTGCTTAAAAACTTAAAACAAATCAGTTATTGCAGGATTGTGAAAACTGGATGTTTTATCTTATTACTTCTTTTCCAGAGCATGTCGGAGGAGAAGTACCGTCCACTCACCTCGAGGCTGCTGGTTGGTCGGCCCAGGTGGAATTTACTGTTTGATGAGATCGGGAAGACCAATAAGCAGTAAGTAGATTTTGAATGTCCAGGGGTGAAGATGCTCTCCAGTGTTATTACGTCTAAACTCTTTGTCTCAATACACTGTATTACTTGTGTCATATTGTTCCAGCACGAGCACTTCTATAGTAATCTACTTGTGGCAAACAGCTTTTGGTGACCTTATCTTAACAGAAATGCATTGTGTTAAAACACAAAACAAGGCCACAGAGACAAATAGAACTATGTCTATAATAATAATAATAATAATGTCATTGATCAATTATTGGGCATATCTTTGATCATACTGTAAAAAACAGCTTATTTTCCCTCCAGTCTTTGATAAATGATAAAATATCAATGATTAATTTAAAATGTAAGTCGTACTGTATATATTAATCAAATCAATCCAATCCAGGTTTTTTTAGTTGCATTTTTATCCTTTGATTGATGACTTCCTGTTTGAAGATCATGTGACCTGATAAAAGCTCCTCGTTAGTATAGTGGTCAGTATCCCCGCCTGTCACGCGGGAGACCGGGGTTCAATTCCCCGACGGGGAGAGTTACACTTTTTGAAAGCATGTTACACCCTGACAACATTAACAGGAAGCCGTAACACCTGTCTGTGATGAATCAGAGCCTGTCAGAGGAAGCAGAGGCACTTTCAGCTCTGCCTCTTTACAAACACACGGCCTTCATTGATCTTACTTTGTAAGACAGGCTTTGGTAAAGGCAGGAAATCAGATACAACGTTGGTCTGCTGCTTTACCCCTTTACAGAAAGATCCTGATCCCTATCAGAGTTAAGCGGCTGACCGCAGAAAGGCAGTGATCCTTACACTCACAAGTTATAAGGAAGTCGTTAAACCTGTCTCTCTCTATCTTTCTCCCTCTATCTGTGGTTTCAGTAAGCGGGTCGGCGTTTTCTGTTGTGGACCAAAGGGCATCTCCAAGACTCTTCACAGACTGTGTAACTCAGCCCGATCCTCTGGAACAACCTTTGAATTCAACAAGGAGTCCTTCAGCTGATCGAACGCCCAAGCTGGTTTTATATTTCACTGAAAAACACAACTTTGCCATTTGACATATGAAAGTGGGCAAAAGAACTTGAACATTCACAGACTATATTGTTTATTCATATGCAACCCTCCTACGGTCACACAAGACTCAGCAGAAAAACAACCTTAAAATAAAGCCAAACCCACGACTAATGTTCAAATATTCAAGAAGCAAGAAAAACAGAAGAGACCAGCCCACTGCTCAGATCCTCCACTAAAGTTGCTGTTGGATTTTATTGTTTCCCTGGCACATCCCCATGGAGTAAATACGTCTTTCATCTTTCAGTGCACCAGGTGGAAACATCACGCAGGGATCAACAGACTTGTCTTTAAAAAACAGTTAATTAAAGTTAACGCAGAGATGGAACCATGTGGAAAACATCCATTGTGGAATCAAGAACGAGTTAAGAGTCTGCCGAATTTAATTTGACCTTTACTTAACACAACAAAGAACCAGTACCAACCAGGCTCTACTGACCAAAAAGTGTCAGTGTGTCCCACTCACAGACAGAGGATTTGAGGATAGCCTTCAGGGAAATGTTGCTTTTCATCATCAGAATCCGCTGGGATTTGCTTTCAAGAGAGATGATGAGTGGACATATAATGGACACCTGATTTAGTCTTTAGCCCAGTTCTAATCTGGCCCTTACACCCTCCCACTTTGTGTTTGTGTTGGATTTACACTTACAGCTGAATGAAGCACCCTTCTTTGAGGCTTAAGGTATAGATAAAACGGCAATCTTCATGATTAACTTCTCTACGACAGAAGCCGGAACTATTACGTTTCGTAACCATGTTTTACTATGGAAGAGGCAACCTAAGCACATCCAGGAGAATACAACTTTGAAGCTTTTGGTGGCATTTCTTTTTATGTAAACAAGTTTTTAAGCCGCCTGGTTTTTGCAACAGTCTCTGTAATTATACAACGAAATGAACCCATCTTCTGTGTTTTAAACGTATAAAAGGTTGAAGTAGGGAGAGGGTTTAGGGGCCGGATTCGTATTGGACCTTTGTTTTACTCTTGTTGTTTGCTGTTCATATACGTGTATCAAAATCTGTCTTTATACAAAGCAAACATACACTACACCTCAAGCCAGTATTCTTAGTTTTGTTTATTATTATTTATATTGTACATGTAAAGTTATTTTCTTATGTTATGAGAAAAACTTCTGCAGGGTTTTGGCAAAGTGTATGTGATTATTATTTTCTTTTATACATATCTCCAGAAAGTCAAGTTACTGATGCAAAGAAATGAGGAGATGGGGGTTTCTGCAAAGAACCAACATCTTGATATTTCTGATTGTGTGCCTGAAACAACCATCAACCATCAACCATTTATTTAGCATTTCATATTTATATATATTTGAATGTTGAATTGTATGTCTATTTTTAGGAATGTTCTCTATGTTGGCAAAGTCTGAAATAAAGAGATTTTCTATTTATTATATCTTATATTGCTTGCAAATAATAAGTGGGGAAACATTTACTAATTTCTGGGCCAATTCTATCTTATCACAAAAATATAATTTGAAGTCACAAGTATGTTTTTTTACATTTTATTTTGTAAAAAAAACACTCTTGCCAGTAAAAATCATCACTCTTTACTGGCATTCATTAGATTCATGAATTAAATTAGTTGGTTCATTTCCAAATAGCCATAAAATATGAACTTGGTGTGACATGATGACAACCAAAATGCCAAGAAAACCGGATCTTGTTGTTCAATTTGAATGCAACATATAGTACACAAACTCATGATTTGTTATCATGATGCATCTTACTTCTCTTTTCCTCTGAAAGATCACAATCTCTTCTCATAGCACCAGCGGTAACACACAAGAGAGATGTGGGAGACTTTCATTGTGGTAAATCATTTCAGTAAATGTACTCAAAGGAAAGCTGACACAACAAGTCACTGTACAAATACAAGAAAATACCGTAGTGAACTATAAAAAATACTTGCATGTTCATGAAAACATGAGAAAAGACTGATTGCATTTTATAATTGAATAACAATTGGCTCTGTGTGAGGTAAAAATATATCCCAAAAATAGATTCTTATCCACAATCTTGATTTCAATTGCCCCTTACTTAAAAAGGTTAGTTCACCTTAATACCAAAAATATATATATATGAAACGCTAAAATCCATTGAAAACTTTAAGATAAGGTTCTTTAATCCTTTCATTGTTTCTTCTAATACATGTTGCTGACATGTTTCCATGCTATTACTATCACAATTCAATTAACTTCACCTGCACTGTATCGCCATAGTTTTAGCAGTAATTATCTGAAATTCAAAGTCAAACAAGATACCGTTGAACATTTCAATGGATTCTTTACTAGAGCTCAATTACACATTTTACCTTGCACCTGGGTTTATCTTGTTTACTTGCATCATGAAAGTGTGTATGTGTGTGTGTATGTGTGTGTGTGTGCGTGCACGCGTGCGTGTGCGTGTGCATGGCCGTATCTACCATTGAGGTCACCGAGGTCCGGACCTCGGTAATTTTTTTCGAGCTGTGTATGTACTGTATATAACAAAACTTGTGAAATAATTGCACTAAACGGGGTTCTTTGTAGTACTTCCATTTACTGACGATGGGGGCGCTGCATAACTACATAGCCTCGATTAAAGCAAACAGAAGAAGACGACATGTATCAACAAACCACCGCAGCCCGGACTTGTACCGGAGCAGCGGAGGAGTGATGAGGTATCTAGAGATCTGAGTCCAGCGGGCTGCTTGTGTTTCTGTTCATCAGGACATCATATGACCAGCAGATCCTGTGTGAACGCTCTACGTTAGTCAGTGGACGTCCGACAACATGCACACTAACTTATATTGCAGCTATAGGCTATACTTTGGTTTAAATTGCGTGAATAAACTAGCTAGAGAGCTAAAGTTAACTACATTCATCCAATGTCAGAAAGATTAC